GTTAGTCTCTAAGGTGCCATAAGTACTCCTGTTCTTTTTGCGGATACAGACAAACACGGCTGCTACTCTGAAACAACAATTAATGTATGTGAATGTGGTTTTAGCCTGAGGCTACAGTCTACAAGTACATTGGACATTGTGGATGGGTCTTTTCTAGCATCTAAGAAGATCCCCATTGTAAACACTTTCAGTAAAGTAAAACAATTTAGTGCTACTTTTGCTATGCTAATTGTATAGATGTTCTACAAGATAAAATATGGGAGGCAGATTCTGACTTCACTCCCTCCAGGTTAAAGACTAGTGTAATGCTAATAGCTTCAATGGAGTTATTTCTGATTAACACTAGTGTAAGGGAGATTGGCATCAGACAGTAGGTTTAAATTTAAATAGTTTACAAACAAGTTACATGCCTTGGCATCCAGCAAGAGGTTATCTGGTTTAATATCTCTATGGATGAATCCCAGCTGATGAATGGCATCTATGGCCAGCACAGTTTCAGAAATGTAAAATTGTGTTTCCTCTTCTGTTAAAGTGTCTTTCTTCATAAGTAAGGTCATCATATCACCTACCCACAGAGAAAAACACATTAGAAAGACCAGTGCATTTTAATTACCAAGGATAACCCTACTGGAAATAGCGGTAGATTTCATTAGAATCCTACAGTTGGCTTCTGCATGTTTCAACTGCAAGGCCAATACTCCAAGGAACTGCTAGCCCAACAGACCCATTGTTACTCTGCTTCAAAGCCTGTTTGGCAAATTGGACCTAGCAGGAACCAGCTGAAAATTATTAACTGGATTTTTAAGTAGGGTACTCAGTGAAGTGGAGTCAGCTGAATTACGTATCTCCTAACATATACCACACAGTAATTGTTTTCAGTAATAGCCACTTTCACAGTTATTGGCATCAGTAGAGAACAGCAGAACATCTGATTACAGGAATTATTTAATCCAAAAACACAACTATTATTACAGATGTTTTAAAGGCTCAAAAAAAAAAAATGCAGGAATGTGGATATCACTGATACTGGAACTTAACATAGCATAAAAATCCCATTAGCATCAAGTATTTAAGATTGCTTTTGTCATCAACTACATAAAAAAAGGAATAAATACTTTAATCACTGAGCCACTGAACTCATTGGTTTGCTTTGTACCTCCAGGTAGGAACTCCATGATCAGGTAAAGATTCCTTTTATCCTGAAAACTATAAAACATTTTCACCACCCAAGCACCATCCGCTTCGACCAATATATCTCTTTCTGCTCTGATGTGGGCCACCTACATGCACAGATAATAAACAAATTGTCATTAATATCAAGGACAATTATTACTTTAATATTAAGTTACTGTACCAATCACTGCATTGTTCATGATCTCCGATGAAGAAACTGTTTATAATCCTGTGTCAGGGTGCTGGGCAACAGCAGCTGAGCCAACACTCTGGTCACTGTAACTAATTAATTACTCTAGAGTAGACCTCATTAAGAAGAGCTGTGCCTAACTGATGGGTTGAGGAGAACTAAGAGGCTAGCCCATCAGGCAGATGATGTAACAGGCACAGGAAGGAAGGAAGGAAGGAAGAGAGGGGAAGCAGAAAAAGGGAGAGAGATCTCAAGATCTCCCCTGCTTCCAGAGCTGAGGGCTCCCTAGGACAGTAAGCATAAGGCGGTACAGCATGTAAGAGTGGTGGAAACACTGTGGTAAATAAACTGCATGGAGTGTTTTACCAGTAAAAGGTCTCCGAGCAGTTTGTGGGCTTGAACAGAGGCAGGAACAAGCCGGCCCTGGTACACATCTCCACACAGAATCCCTGTGAAGCCAACTGTGGGAGAATAACTCTGCCTCCAAAAAATCATGACTGCTGTGTAAACTCCTGATTTAAGAGACCATCTCAAAACATTCCCAAATGTAGAGTGCTGTTTGTAAAGGGTGTTTCTATTGGATGCATAATATTCAGTAGTTGAACAGAGCTTGTGGAAAAATGGAATTTCTTTGGATGTTTTACTGAAACTGGCTATTGGATTTTTTTATTTCAAGAAAGGCTTTTTTTTACATATTAAAGTATAAAACCATGTCAAGGTCGGGTCTGCAATGTAACTTTCCCAACTGTGAATTCATAGATACCTACAAATGTCTGGAATGTAATTTGAAAGTCAATGTGAAAGCCCGGTACAAGTATTGGGTAAAGTGTAGGATCTTGTCTTAAATCATGAAACAGAGGTAAAGTGATGGGTGGAGTATTATTATTGACAATAATTATCAGACCTCTCATTTATGTATCCCAAGTGAGCTGATAACTGGTTTGTATAATAGGTTCCTTATAGCATGGTTGAGGATGAATCATCTCTAATAAGAATGGGTTGGTTGCTAAATTAACCACATCTGTAGAAATGAGAGATACATTGGTACTGCCAATTTCAGCAGTTTTTACTTCAGAGCCTGTTTGTCTGGCAGAAGATATAGGTAAAATACACGTGCCTGAGCTGCAGTGAAATATCCCAAATGATATTCCGTTGGTTGAATACAACTTACTAGCAAAACTTTTGAAAAATATTAATCAACTGTTCACAAAATGCACTGAGAAATATCCTAGGCTTTGGAACTCTTATCTGGAAACAGTCTCTACAGCATAGTACAGGTGGAAAAGGAACTTGACGTACTATTTTTGTCTGCAGCACTGTCAGTTGGGTGAACCGTGGCACTGTAAAGGGGGGAGCATTTCAGCGGAGAAGAGGCTTGGTGCAGAAAGACTATATGGTATGAGGTAACTCAGCGAGGTTCACTAAAACTTAAGGATAATGCAGCTAAGCGCTGTATCCCACTGTGCATTTCCTAATTCTTAAAGAAATTGAAATATGAAGAGCTGAACAACAATCCCTGACAGCTGAAGGTTTTTCATGCGATACAAGAAATTATTAAATAGAAGGAAATCCTCTTACATGTTTCCAGCTTTCAGAGCTATTTTCACCAAGCAATAGAGACCTGAACTTTAATACAATTTTTTTACACCCCTCCTCCCACTCAACTCTACTGGCCAGAAATATTTCTGTGACGACAGTAGACTTCACATTCCTCATTCTGTCACCTCCCCACAGCAGCCTACTCGCTTCAAGTTATTTGTCTACCCCTAGTTAAGCTATCCCATATTACTACCTTGAAAAAGATTTCTTTCCTCACTCCCTCCTTTTCAGAATGAGGATATTGCATACAATTAAACTTAGTTTAAAAACAAATCATGACGATCTCTCCCAGTGTCAACTGTAGATTTTATTGCATTTATCTTCAATGCGTTGTTCCTACAGAACACATTAGGCAGTGGAACATTCAGCAAGTGTATGCTCCCTGTGGGTATGTTTATACTGTTGCTGTGGGTGTAATTTCTGGCTGGGACAGATGTACCTGCACCTGCTTTGATAGAGCCAACACTAAAAACTGCAGTGTTGTTGCATCGGCACAGGCTAGCCGCGTGAGTGTATAACCCAGGAGATAGGGTGGGACTGTACTTTGGCTACTAGTCTGTGCCACCACCCGTGCTGCCCTAGCCATTTTTAGCACATTAGCTCAGCCAGAGCTAGCGTGGGTATATCTACCTGAGCCGGAAGTTACACTTCTTGCTGCAGTGTAGACATAACAATTACGTTTAATGCCACAGGTTATGTTTCAGTCATGTACCTATTCAATGGAACATCTATTTAAAACAAACAATGGGATGGACAAACATTTGACCAGCAGAGGGTCTAACAACCATATCTCAATTTTTAATTTGGGCCAAGAAATTTTTTTCAAGAAGCCTCTTGCATATAGAGTACTGACAGAATGCCCTGTACTTAAGCCCCTTCTTTTTCAGTTTAAACTAGGGCTGTCAAGTGATTAAAAAAAATTAATCATGTGATTAATCATGCTGTTAAACAATAATAGAATTATTTACATATTTTTGGATGCTTTCTACATTTTCAAATATATTGATTTCAATTACAACACAGAATACAAAGTGTACAGTGCTCACTTTTCTTTATTTTTGATTACAAATATTTGTACTGTAAAAAATAATATTTTTCAATTCACCTAATACAAATATTGTAGTGAAATCTCTTTATCATGAAAATTCAACTTACAAATGTAGAATTATGTAAAAAAAAAACTGCATTCAAAAATAAAACAATGCAAAACTTTAGAGCCGACAAGTCCATTCAGTCCTACTTCTTGTTCAGCCAATCACTCAAACAAGTTTGTTTACATTTGCAGGAGATAATCCTATCCTCTTCTTGTTTACAATGTCACCTGAAAGTGAGAACAGGCATTCACATGGCATTGTTCTAGCCAGTGTTGCAAGATATTTACATGCCAGATGTGCTAAAGATTCTTATGTCCCTTCATGCGTCAACCACCATTCCAGAGGACATGCATCCATGCTGACGATGGATTCCGCTCTTTAACGATCCAAAGCAATGCAGATCGACGCATGATCATTTTCATCATCTGAGTCAAATGCCACCAACTGAAGGTTGATTTTCTTTTTTGGTGGTTCAGGTACTGTAGTTTCTGCATCAGAGTGTTGCTCTTTTAAGACTTCTGAAAGCATGCTCCACACCTCGTCCCTCTTCAGATTCTTAAACCTTGGTTTGAGTGCTGTAGCTATCTTTAGAAATCTGATATCGGAACCTGCTCTATGTTTTGTCAAATCTGCAGCGAAAGTGTTCTTAAATCAAACAACATATGCTGGGTCGTCGTCAGAGACTACCATAACACAAAATAGATGTCAGAATGCAGGTAAAACCATGGAGCAGGAGACATACAATTCTCCTCCAAGGAGTTCAGTCACAAATTTAATTTGTGCACAAAAAACTTGCACAGATACAGACAGACATCATCTTCCTCTCCAAATGCAAAAAGATGGACATCATACCAAATGGACTGAAGGTAAAAAATCCATTGCAATCAACATACTACACTGACTATGGTGAGAGACTGTGCCACACTCTCTCAAAGAAACTGAGGAACCACCTGATCGGCATCCTGTACAGCAGACAGGAGAAGATCAAGAATGAGCTCTCAGAACTGGAGACTCTCATACAATACCAGCCTTCTACACAAACTTCCACATGGCTGGACTTTACAAAAATGAGACAAGCCATTTACAATGCACACTTCACTTCTCTACAGATAAAAAAGGACAGAAAGCTATCTAAACTCCTACCTGCCACAGGGGGCTACAACAGTGGTACCCTCAACTCATCTAACAACATTGTCAATCTTTTCAACCACACACTTAGCCCAGCAGAAGAGTCTGTCCTATCTCGGGGACTCTCTTTCTGTCCCACCATCCCCACGAACACGATGCAGTTCTGCGGTGATCTGGAAGCCTACTTTCGTCGTCTCCGACTCAAGGAATATTTTCAACGCACCACTGAACAGTGCACTGACCCACAGGAATCCTCCTACCAACACTGCAAAAAGAAGAATCCTGCGTGGCCTCCTCCTGA